GCATAAGAACTTTGATGTAAAATTCCATGCGACGTAAGAAATGGAATAAAGGTAGAAGAAAAAAATATATTCACAAGCATTGTTTATACACAAACACTTAACAGGAAAGCCACATTGAGTACGAACTTCATTATAAAAATGGCAGAAAGATTGAAACACTTCAGTATGATCTTTTATTAAATATAACCAAGTTATACGACTACAATCATCAATAAAAGTGATAAAATATAGGAAACAAAAAGAAGACTCTCGACTAGGACCCCAAACATCAGAGTGGACTAACTCAAATGGCTAAGACGCACGACTCAAAACACAAGAGGGAAAAGACACCCGATGGTGCTTACCCAACTAACATGTTTCACATTCAAACTGAAGGCTAGAACTAGACATAAAGGGAAAATGTTGGAGTACGTCTGCTAAGGGGTGACCGAGGCGATAATGTAATCGATAAGAATCATCCACAGCTTTCCTCTGAACGGTTGCGGCAGTAGCAATAATCTCAGGGTCCAAAAGGTACAATACACTAGCCTCACGGCCACCAACTATTTGGCGTCTAGTCTTACGATCCTGAATAACACACGAAGAGGAAGAAAATATAATATCACGGTCAAGATTACAGGTAATAGAACTGACAGACAATATATTATACGGGAAGTGCGGAATATGGTAAACAGTCGGTAAGGACACTGAAGAACTCAATGATACACAATCTGAACCTGTCACCTTGGACTGAGAACCATCTGCCAAAGTGACTGAAGTGGAAGGAATGGACGAGGTGGAGGTAAGAAGGCTCGAATCACCAGTCATATGATGAGTGGCACCCAAATCAATAACCCAAGGGCGAGGAGTAGCCGTAGTGGACAAAAGACAGGTAGAATCATTGTGCTGTGCCAAAGTAGCAACGGGACCCGAAGAAATACCAAGATGTCGTGCCCTAATCAACTCATCATATTCTACACGAGTTAAATTCATCATACTCTGTCCGAAAGGAGGTCCAGACGAAAGAGACCAAGGCTCAGTATCAATAGAAACATGTAGACCCTGTAGCTCAGGATGGAGGTTATAGCAATAATCAACAGTGTGTCCTGTAAGCTGGCAATGAGTACAAAAGTGACCCCCACGAGCTACTCTAGAACCACTATTACCACCACTACGAGGAGCACCTTGGCCCTAAACACCACGGTCACTACTACGGTTAAAACCATATGAGTTCCAATTTCCACGACTATTACTACGACCACGAGCAACTTGACCACCACGAGCCACCATAGCACTATTTTTTGATATGGCTGAAGTTTTGGGACTAGGAGTGTAACGAGCAACCTGAGAGTACACTTCTTATATGGAAGGTAGAGAACCAAGAGAAGTCATCTATTGCCAAAGAGCACTGTGATCTGGACCAAGACCTCGTAGAAAGAGGACTACCACCATGTCCGCTTCTCATTGATGCATCTGAGTAACCGTGGTAGCCGGTGGAAAGTAAGATTTGAGATGCTGATACAAAGACGAAAAACGAGCATAAAATACAACACGCTACCACAACACCACTGAGCACTAGAGAGTGAGATTTAAAGAAACTTTTGCTTTTCAAACTCACTATTAGTCGACTATCTGAAACCTAGTTGACTAGTCGGCAATCACAATGACAACACCACAAGCATACACGAATCTCACCCAAACCACCACAACTTTGTGATCTAATCATCACATCACCACAAACAACTCAACACCAATCAAAACACAACGTATGGCTGAAACGGGGGCCTTGACGTTAATGGAACAACACGGGATAGCAGCGTTTTACGGGCGTTGACATCAATGGGACACTAGTTTCGTTTTTCTTCGTTTTAGAATAAAGACGACGCCTTGGACAGCAAACAAAAAAAAAAAAAAAAGAGACGCCTTGGCGCGGCTAACCAGGAGAACCAGCAAAAACGACACCTTGGCGTGGCTGACCAGGAGAACCGGCAAAAACGACACCTTGGCGCGTCTTCTCTCACGTAGGAATGTTGAGCTCTGATACCATATTGTCGGCAAAAGAGAGAATGTTTTTCTATTGAGATTAAAAGAAGTATTTATAGGCTTAGGGTTAAAGCTTGCACAATTATATAAATAACCCCAACTTGCCAAACTGTAGAATAATAAGTAATGACCCAACATAGGTTAATATCACGAAAAACCCCGATTGATACACATGTGATAAATTTACCTCAAACTAATTTTTTTCCACCAAAAACCCTAAACTGGTACACTTGTGACAAATTTACCTCAAAACAAAATTTTGGATCATCAAAAATCCCAAACTGGTACACACGCGATACTATGTCCGCGCTTACCAATTTGGGGTTTTTTGTTATCCGAAATTTATTTTTGGTAAATTTATCACATATGTACCAATTTGAGGTTTTTTATGGTATCACCCCCTTATTATAATAACGAACATTCTACGCCCATTTATTGCGGAAAAGTCTCCAACCACTCGAGCTATAAATACCGTTGTCGCTTGAAACATATGACACTCCAATTTATTAATCCCAAAAGAAGAATTCAATGAATTGCATTCAATCAGAAAATAATGGCTTTCAACCACTTCCGCATAGTAGACCACATGCCTAGCTCCTTCTTCCCATTTTAGCCTTTTTTTTCTTTTTTCTTTTTTAATTCCCTTTTTGGGGTTCAAAATTTTGAGACGAGTCCTACTCGAGGGGCTCTTTTTCTCTCATTTCCTTTGAAATTTTTACAATTATTTCTTTTTGGTCAGATTACAATTATTATATAATTACATATGTTGCACGGCATAAGAAACAAAAATTAAACAGAACTTTTTCTTCTACTGAGTAAATAAAAAGAGTAAACATTTAAAAGTAGGGACGAGATAGCAATGTGTCATTGTCAATCTGGAGTAGAAGACAAGCCATATAAATGCCGGCCTGATACCCTAAAAAATCTCTAATTGTAGCTCCAATCCTAATTTTATTTTGAACTTTTTTAGTCTTATAAAATACCCCAAACTTTCGGTCCCCGTTCCAGTTCTACTTAAAAAAAAAAATTTGTTTCATAAAAGATCACAAATTTTTACTTGAGTCAGATATCTATCTTGTTAACCCTCCCTCCGAAATCGCCTTTAATGATCCTACGTGACATTTTCACGTCATCGCTATAGTTTTCCCCCGAATATAAGATCCAAGACATCTTCTTGAATCTGAAATTTGGATAAAACTAGAGCAATCAGGGTTGGCTTTCTACAATATCTCTTACTCTTAAAAGAGTCGTCCTTCCAACTCATCCGGGAATCTTCGATGTCGCACTCGATCCTCAATCTCTCGGTGCTTAGGAGTCTTCCATCTCTCCCGATCGGAGAGCTCGCGCTCAGGATGCTCGAACAGCTCATACTCAAGAGTTTTCTATCTCTTGATTGTCGACGAAGGGTTAACGGGACGTATTCGGGACTCAAGTAGAAGTAAGTGATTTTTTACGAGATAAAAAAAATTTTAAGATAGAATTAAGCCGGGCCAAAACTGTTTTTTGAGTAGACTTAGACTCAACTTAGGGTTGAGGTTTTTCTTAGGGTATGAAGCCTGTGGATGCTATATATCTTCAAAGGTAAGAAACTTGCATGTGCTGCATTTGATGAAACTCTTGGCGGCCTAGCCTGCATCTCAAGAAAGCGACATTTAATACGAAAAGCTGCCGATAAAGCTGGTAGCCCAAACAGCCTCCGCAGACTGTCAATGCACATGAACTACCCGTAATGATAAGAACTAATATTCCTCTGCCTTATGAATCGCTAACAACATTTGTAGAGCACGTGGGGAAAGACGTGGCACGTGTTCCTAATTTTCGCGCGGCTTGCTCCACTTTGGTCCGGTAACTTTTGAATCCATCGCTCGAATGCCGTGACTTAAGAAAAAAAAAGGGCTCATCGAAAATGCCGTGAGTTTTAATACCGGGTAGGATTTCTTGACACTTGAGTGATCAGCTGAAAAATTACAAAGTTACGACATTAAAATTGAACGCCGTTTGAAAATTACGACACCCGTAGCCGATAAATAACCACCGTCTTTTGACCCTTATCAAAATTGAAAAAGAAGCGGAAACATTTTTTTAAATCCAAATAATGTGTGGCTTTTCTTTATTATTAATTTGAGGCCCCATTCGCATCCTCCATCATCCCGATTCCCTACCACACAGCCTTATCCTTTACAAGCACGCAACCACCTGCTACACCACCAGTACTTTGGCTTCTCTCTCCTCCAACCATTTCGTGCGACCTCACTGCATAGTTTATTTCGCGAATAAATAAATATTTTTTAAAAATAATTATTTATATCACTTAAAATAATTAGATAACAATTTATATCTAAATATATTCGTGTATTTTGTAATACAATTTTTTTTTATGCTCGAATGCTCGGACAGTAGCTGTCACCAACCCTATTTTACCGATTGACAACCGCACTTATTTATCGAGATTTCAATCGCAAAGTTGCATACTGTGCAGCGCAAAAAAAAATCAATATTAAAATTATGGCACGCATAATTCAAAATTTATTTATGGCATTTGCACACCATTTTTAATTCGAAAGCGATAGATCTCGACAAAATCAAACTGCCACGTCAGAAAAAAACCGACCACAGGAGAAGAATTCGAAAACATCGCTACCATGTGCATTGCATCTTTGCTCATATTACAATATAGTTTCCTTCCCCCATCTCTCTTTCTCACATACACGCACTGGTAGACGACAAATTTTCACTTTCGGCCTCATAAAATATCTCCCTTTTTTTTTTAATTACAAAAGGGGGAAAAAAAAAATTTTAAAAATGAAGAAACCCTATAAGAGGAAAGTAAGGGAAAAAAAAATTCTGTGACCTGGAATTACCGTTTTGCCCCCGTTTGATGGTAACTCATCCGATCAGAAGAAACTGAAGGAAAAAGCATAATCTCTCTCCGATGGCCGGTCCTTGATTCACCAATTTTCCAGCCCATCGTCGCCGCCGCCGCCGCCGCCGCTCATCCGGGGCAGGACGTGGACGGTCACGGCCTGCACCGCCGGTGGCGGGTCCACCACCCAGAGCCTCGCCGGGGAGGCCGCGACGTCGACCACCGCGATCCCGCCGTCCTCCCCGCCGCACACGACGCAGACCCGGCCGCCCCCTGCCGCGACGTGCTGGGCCCCGCGGAGCCTCTCCGAGGCCATGACCTCGTCCCAGCGGTCGCGCCCCTCGTCGTACCGGCTGAGGACGCCCTTGACCTCGTCGACGACGTAGATGACGTCCTCGTCCATGGACGCGACGGGGCCGAGCCAGCCCCCGATCATCCCATCCGGCATCTCCTGCCACGCGTCGGCGGCGACGTCGTAGACGAGCCCTTGCTTCGCGGCGTGGCCCTTCACGTTGACCATGCATAGTTTGCCTCTCCACCCGACGGCCTCGATGGCGTCCCTGCAAAACCGCCCGTCTTTGAGCCTTTTCAATTTCCTCCACTCCCAATTCGCGCTCTCGTCTTTCTTCCTCGTGCCGGGATTTCTGTTGCCGGACGTGTTGAGATCCCACTTCTCGACCGACCTCGCCACGTCGGTGCTGAACTGGGACCCGATCCCGCTCGCCACGTAGACGGCGGCGCCGAGGACCCCGGCGGCGCACCACCGCCGGGGGGCGGTGAACGGCGGGCCGGAGGCCCACCTCCGGGCGATCGGGTCGAAGATGAGCGGGCGCGATATCGCCGGTAAGAAGTTGCGGGCGGTGGCGGCGAGGAGGACGAGCTTCCCGGCGACGGAGACGGTCTGGATGGGGAAGCGCCAGGAGAGGAAGGAGGGGTGGCTGACGAGGAGGCGGAGCGGCGCGTCGGGGGCCGGCGGGGGGAGCGCGCGCCACCGGGCGGCGATCGGGTCGAAGGTGGCGAACTCGACGTTGCTCAGGTGGTGCTGATCGGTCGGGAGCGACCGCGACGGCGACGACGAGGAGGACGACGGAGGCAGCGACGGCTCCTGGGGCGAAGAGGGTGATAGGAGGGCGTAGAGGGAGAGGAAGGGAGGGAAGGAGGGGGCGTAGATGACGCGCCGCCACGAGCGGCAGACGGAGAAGAGGAGGGAAGGGGGGACGCGGGCGAGGCAGAGGCGGGCAATGTGGTCGGGGAGCCCGGGCAGCAAGGGCGGCTGGTGGGGGCGGTCCCGGTCGTGGTCGGCCACCTTGCGGCGCTTGGCGGAGGAGGAGGAGGAGGTGGCTGCGGCGGCGGCGGCGGTGGAGGGGGTTGAATCGGCTGTGGGAGCGACGGCGTTGGCCATTTGTATGGAAGGGAGGAAGGAAGAACAGCGAGTTTGTGAGGCATTTTATATTGGTGTTTTCGGTTTATTTTTTTAATTTTTTTAATTTTTTTTGCCTTTTTCTTTGGTGGGGATCAATTAATAACGATTTTGTTCGGGGCATAACTTTTTAGGAGTTGCGTTTGCTTCCTTCGAACGACAAGAAAATTTTTTGTTGTTATTTGAAGGCATATTAGGCAATTTCGTGAAGAAGGTGTTATCGTGATTTGATACATAGCACCTAATGGATAGAGAAGGTACCCGAGAAAATTTGTGATTTAAGCTGGGATCGCGCCGAATTTCACTCGAAAAAGCATGTCGTAAATCAAGTGAAACTCCAATCGGATGGTGAAGCTTTTGAATTTCGCACAAATAAGTCCTAACCCAATCGTCACTTGCAAGCGTGATTGGGTTCGAAGCCATTTCAATGGAAATAGGGGTTTTTTTTTTTATTACCTGAGTGTCGTTTGAAAATAAAACTTAAAATTCTATTTAAGATCGAGTGAAGACGATGGCCGGATTTAGGTTCTCTTGAACGTGTATTCTATTTGATTATAAAGCCATTTTTGAATTGATTTTTGACCCGAAATGGGCCAGTTCGTCGCGGTGACCCCATCGAAAGTGCTAACTAACAAAGAGAGTTGAGGCGCCACTATAAGAGTTGGATCTCAATGCAGCAGATTTAATTATATAAAATAAAGAGTGTTTATATCACATCCTACTTCAACTGACTTAAACTTTTAGAAAAAGATGAATATATATTCGAGCTTCGCTTGTTTTGCGGAAAATATTATCCAGGGAAACATTATCCTCATTTTCCAGCATTTGGTTCGCTTAAGAAAATGAGTTACGAGTCAACAGAAAACCTATGCTTAAATTCGGAAAAATGATTTTCTGTTTGAAAAATTGGAAAATAATTTCTAAATATATAACTAGGTATTGACATTTGGACCAGAAACTCGACGCTTGAGCACGGAAACACCAGCATTGATTCTCAAGTCCCCGGCGTTCAGGACCAAGTCTCCGGACCTGAAGCCTTGGTGCATATACCCAATGCCTCGGCACTCGAGCCCGAGTGCATAAAGGTTATGCTCGGGTCCTCGATACTCTAGCTCTGGTCCTTGGCACTTAGGCCTGGGTCCACGAAGGTCATGCTTAAGTTCTCATCACTCAGGCTCGAGTCTTTAGTTAATGAAACGTTCGTTCTAATAAAAATATATGTTAAAAAAATTAATTTTAATTTTTCTTTTTCCTTCTTCCTCCATCGGCCATAGTCAAGGGACGATATCGCTGGCCTCAGGCGATGCTCGAGCCTCGCTTGAGGTTGCCAGAGTCCTCAACCTTGCCGAAATCTTGAGAGGTCAAGCCTCGTCAGCCTTGGGTGAGCTTGTCTCTCGCCTGTGGCTAGTCTCTGGTTATCGCCGTGGCCAGCCAAGGAATAAGGAAAAAAATAAAAAAATTAGAATTTCTTGGTAATTTTCATCAGAAAAATCAAATCAGGTTTTCCATGCTAAACGGCGATAAATATTTGAGATGCACATCAATCGTGCAAGACAATCGACAAATTACACCATATCAGTTGTGTAATCAATATAAAAAACGCTTCCTCCATAGTGGAACCATCGGACCTTATCTTCTCCCTTTCAAGTGTTGGAAAAATCGAATCGACATGTTGTTATACAGGACGGCCTTTGTCCGGGCGCCGCTGGATCCCGACAAAGATCAGAGCCACTTCGAGGAGGGATGGGGTCACGATAGCCGCTTCTCGGGCGATCTTCTATCGAAGCCGAACGGGCGCACGGGCTTCGCCCTCGCCATCCGACCCCTCTTTACTCCCATCCAATGCCGCAAGAAGTTAATATTGGATGGTCAGGAGAAGAACAAAGAGCAAGAGAGCACCTCCTCCTTTCCTTTTAGTACCCCCATCAACGTGAGGCCGAAGAAGCTACGTACAAAAAGCGACTTTTAAACGACGATGAATCGACAAGACTCCCATCTAATCACGCATTTGCTTTCGTTTTGGTTGGCCCCAAAACCCCTTTTGACCGCCAAGAAAGAAAGGAAGAAAGAAAGGAAGGAAGAAATTCTTCCCAAGATTTAAAGGAAGAAAGGGGGAGGGGCCCCACGCGAAAAAGCTGCCTGTCGTCATTATTAAAATGCAGTTGGTGGAATTACGTATAATTTAAGGTAAAGGGCAGATACGCGTGGTCGCGAGCTTCCTTTTTTCCTTTTAAAAAGTCGCTCCGCCACCTGCGCGCCCAGACAAAAGGCCATCTTGTCGTGTTCTTTGCTCTCATCACGTGTCGCCCATCCTCGCTCCGCCGGAACCCCCCCCCCATCGGTTTTTTTTTTTGTCGCTCCTTTATGTTACGCACATGAACGTGCGGCGCCCACGGGATCGAATTCCGAAACTAGTACTTTCCGGCCTCGCCCCCCCAATTCCTTTACGCCTGTTGGCAACAGCCGGTCGTTGATATTGCCGGTCTTGTGACGACTTTTCATTAAATCCTATAATTTTCTCCTACGATGGCCTCCACTTCCTATCTTCATCCTGTGAGCCTGTTCCCATTTTGTGGGGCGGGCTCCACGAATGCCTTCGTTATTTTAACGTGACAGTACTGTACCCGTACATCTTGCACCCTCAATTCTCTCGTGCATCTTTATCTTCCCTAAAAAGAGAGATACCCTTTAGAAGTTTTACATTTTAGTGATCCCGAGGTCCGGACAAATGCTCTAATCACGTTTGGCCCAAACTCGCTCTGCCGGAACCGCTGATCGCTGACCTCATCGGTGTCTCTCGATCGCTTTGCGCTTCTTACCCGTGGATTTGTTTGGGGTTATTTTCTAGCATTTGCGTTTGTGTACACATGTATGTCCACACGACAGCCTATATTTAGAATTCTGAGTTGCGTTTGATTTTTTTTTTCCTTCCGGTTTCGACACCTCCTACCCTTTCAAATATACCCACAATCAAAACTCGCTTGCCCAAAACCCTGACCCGTCCACTGCTTTGCCCTTTTCTTCCCGGTGCCACTGACACTAGCTGGGTCGTTGCCATCACCGCCAATCACCACCCTAGCCGCAACCCGTCGAGCTCCACCGGCATCGAACTTGACTCAGACTAGAGAGAGAGAGAGAGAGAGAGAGAGAGAGAGAGAGAGAGAGAGAGAGAGAGAGAGAGAGGCTCAATTGGGGTCAACGGTGGCACTCTGCCGGTCAAGGTCAGTGGTGGAGCCATAGTAGAGAGAGGGGGGAATATAGGGTTTACATGAGTTTGAGGGTAGATTGGTGTATTTGAATTTGGGATTCTAATCTCATATGCTAATTGTGTATTTTTAAAATCTATGATGCAAATAGTTATTGAAATGAAAAGTGGAGATTGCTTTTGAAATTTCCCTTTTTCTTATTAATATTGCTCGAGATCTTAGCACAAACTCGAGTTTACAGTGTCATCTAAGATTCAACTAACGCTTAGTCGAGTCAAGCTCGTAAAAAAACCCATTAAAATCGAGGTCGAACTTGAAAATCAAGCTCAATCAAGCGCACTTGAGTATCCAGCTTTGAACATCCGAGCCTAGTTGTACTCAAACATCGAGCTATCTCGACTCCACTCGACTCAATCATACCATCAAAAAAAAGGGTCGCAGACCTCGTCTAGACACCGTGACCGAGGCACAGCCATCACTGGCGTCTCTCTCCTCTTGGTGCATGTAAATTAATCAGCTGGACGAGAGCATCACCATTTTTCCATACCGAGGTGCCCGTGTCTCATGTGGTTTCATTCACATCCGATGCTTTCAATTGGTAATGAATTATTTGGGCCACAGGTCACTATAAATAGAAAAAGGCGCTTACATTCAAGTTCTGGCTTTGGATGCTTTTCTTTTTAACGCATCTGATGTGATTAAAATCATGGAAACCCATGTATCACGTGAAAAGGAGAATGTTAGATGATTCTAACATAAGTCATGTGATGTGCGGTTGGGTTATCTGCTTCTAAATTATTATTATTGGGTTTGCAGCGAGATTAATCCACTACTTGATTTTTTCAATAAATCCACGAGAAAATTAAACATGCAAAATCAAATTCTAAAAAATCGAGTCAATACACCGTAATTATAACTCCACGGACATCGCGGCGGAACGCTCTTAAACAAATTCCCCAAAAGAAAGAAAGAACTCCTTAACCAATGCTCCATCCTCGCCGTGAGGCCGAGCAACAGTCTTCATTTGAGATTTAGATCTACCATCCTTACTAAAAGAGGTCGAGTTAACAATAATCATTACATCTGTGTCTTCTCTCGTTACAATGGCCTAAGGCATCGATGAGGGGGCCGGGAACACGAGATCCCCCGGTCTCCACTTCGCGGGGGCCGGCTCCACGGGTATCCAGAGAGGTCCAAAAAAAAAAAAAGAAGCAAGAAAAACAGATGGCCCTGTTATGATTAAAAGCAGAATAAAAAGAGGAAAAGTCTAGTCCCAAAAAGGAAGAAAAAGGGAAGTTGCTGGGAAGAGGGAAAAAGGCTTTTCCCCTGGCCCTAGGCAATGGCAAAAGCTGGTGGGGAGAGTAGGAGGGACATCCACCAGCTTTACGCATTCAATTCCTTCTCTTTTCTCTCTCTCTCTCTGTACAGCTTTATCTCGTGCACGCAACCCCCTCGTCTCGTCCCCATTCCCAAGAGCCAAAATGAGCTGCTGCTTCTCTCTCTCTCTCTCTCTCTCTCACTCCCTCAGTAAATGAAGCACCGTCCACGAGAGAGAGAGAGGGAGAAAGAGAGCAGCTTTTGTTTATGTCTGCATCTGGATCGGCCGCCGAGATTCGAGGAGTTTTTGCTATTCTTTTTTGTTGGCGCCGTACCTTTCTGCTGACGCAATAGGTGATGATAACTTCCCAGTTTCATCATCTTCTTCTCCGTCTTTTTCTCGACGCGGGATGCGGTCAGAAGCGTGCATCCGTTCCGATCCAATCTAGGAACCGAATCGAACTGGCCAGATCTGGATTATTCCAGATCTCATATCTACCGGAT